GAGGATCGGAAGGTATCGATCATCCGAGCTTCGAAGTCAATACGTTTGACGTCTAGGACAAGTGTGTTATATATAAATATGAACATTATAAATACATATTATAAAATTTAGATTTATATATATATATATAAATATATATGTAAAAGAGAATGTTATGTATAGAGAAATGGATAACGGCGGGACGTGGAGAGGCACAGTTATCAATTACGTCGTTATAACTTTCCTTCGAACACAAAAGTCGTAATTAACTTTATTGTGTCATTATTATTGTTGACGTTAATTATTACCGATTAAACGGCATCGGGCAGCACTATTATTGACAATTCTTTCGTTATTCGAATCACCGTTGCGATCTACGTCTATCGGCGGTTTTAGATGTGGCTTAAGAATGCGGCAAGTGGACGAAGCTATATATAAATCGACTGTCAACACGCCTACTGCAACACGTCGAGATTCGTTCTGATGTGATAATATGTCATACAACAGAACGCGATCCACCTCGAGCTTAAATCGTCCATAAAAAATTCGTGGTTACAACCGTAGCAATTTTTCGCAAAGAGAATTAGAAATAAATTTCAGGCCAGTTAAAGTAGACCAGCGTAAAAGTTGTCTAATACTCGTATGAAGCTATAAATTAAGATTGGAATTTGATTGGAATTTAATTAAAAAAAAAAGAAAAGAAAAACCAAACTGGAAAAAATCTAGTTGCATTAATTGGAGTTGCTTGACAATTGATTAACAAATTCGAATTTTCTGATTGAATCCAGGATAATTCTGATTGAGACAATCAGATTTCCGATTGACATTATTAGAACTTCTGGTTCGTCCATTGTCAACTAGAAATTTTTCTCAACTAGAAAATTTTCTCTTCAATCTCAAATTTAGTGAACATTGATTAATCACATTCCAATATAATCTTAATTTCTAGTCTAATACGAGTTTGACATACCTAGTTATGAAAATGAAAACATCTAACAAGGCAACGTTGCGTTGCGTTACAAATAATGTTTGCCTTTTCAAATTACCAGCTCTATTTTTTATTTTAGATGAGGAACAATTCAATCAATGATTTGAGATGAAGTTTAAATAAAATTTTAACATGGGTATTTTCCTCTCGTGTTCAAATTGTTCTGTCTGATGTCTCTTGAATATGATTGAAATGTTGAAAGTACGCTCCGTTTTGATTGTCATATCGTATAGGTGCAACGGCTGTTATATGTAGTAGTTACATAATTATATTATTAGGCATTTTACATTGATTGATTCTTAATTAGGCTCTCTTATAGATTACTCAACTGTAAGGAGCTGCGCCAGATTTTTTCCTTTACGTCTTACTATTTGATATATTTAATTTATACACTTAACATTACTTCTCATGCTATACCAATCTCCATGACGATGGCGGCGATGGCGACGACGATGCTGATTTTGATTATCCTTTATCCTTAGTATCGATCGTATACGTGTACTACTCCGTTGTATTGTCCGACAGCATCCTGCATTATTTTGTAAAGAAGAATAAAAATATCTTGACAAACGCAAAAGAAGGGAGTCCCCAATCTAATTTAATTCGTTCGAGCTTTTTATTCCAGTCAATGAAAACAGATTCTGATAGAAAATGAGCGACTCAGAAAATTCTGATCACATATCAATTCTAGTTATCTCAATTAGAATTATAATAGATTCAACTAGAAAATTCTGATTGTCCATTTTCTACCAGAATTCCGATTAATAGAAGCACACTCTTTTAGCCTTCTATGAATCGTTCATTTTCCAGTATATTTCTGAGATGTTTACAGAACGTTGTAAGTGACGTAGTGGAGAGACGGCGACGGTACGTATCTGATAATGTTCGACTGCGTGGAACTTAGCGGAATCACGTTGAGCGGTGCGATCGATAAAGGATTGATGGTGCGAATTTGTTCGGTCATACTTATAGTTGGATGTTGCGACAGTTGTTTTTTCTTCGGCATTTCTACTCCCTTGGCCGAAATCATCATTGCGCTCTTCAAGGCCGTTGCCGATGGCGTGATTACACCGGAAGCGCCTACAGAGAAAATGGCGAGATTTTTAATATACGCAAGATCTCTCATTTCTAGCTCTACCCTTTATAAATTACTGCAATTTGCACTGTGTGATTTGTTGCAAAAACCAATTTACGGTATCATGGTATCAACGAGTTTGCGAACCGGTCGCAATCGTAGAGGGAGAGGAGTGACCTTAAGACGGTCTTCGGTCCCGGAAATGGGACGACCTTCGAAAGAACGGCAGAAAAAAGTATAAATGGAAGAGCAATCTTGATAAAATCATAATTTTAATTTTTTGATAGAAAGAGAATAAAAACGTAGCATAGTTATAATCTTTCCTTGCTATTAAAAACAATCACAAAAAGGAATTTAAATAATAAAATAATTTTAAGAGATAGCACCATGTTTTTGAAAAAAGTGATATAAGTAAAAAATTAGCGTTTGAGATAGTGAAAGTAAATAGACTCTAAAAACTAAAATATATTTTTCTGAAAAAAATGGTGCATTTGTATCTCTCCCAATTTATCGCTAAAGAACAGATTTGTAGTTTGTTTTAACTAGCAATGATTATTTGTATAAAAAAAGAACATTGTTTAGGATATATTAAGATATATTTATGATAGTGAAACTAGCCACAAAAAAGACTGAAGTCAGTGGTACTCTACAATGCAATGGAAAGTTATTCAGAAAGATTGGCAATTTAAACTCATTAACAGCTAAATTTATTATCAGTGTTTTAATAATTTAAGTTTTTACCTAATTAAGACTGTCCTAATTAAAATTGTTTCAATTCAGGATTTAAAAAATGCTCTTGAAAAAATGCTAATTTCGAGATATGTATGTTTTCTACGCGATGATGTGTATTTGTATTAAATTGTAGTGGAGCACTATATCGAACGAAAGCTCAAAGTATTTAACTAAAATAGCTCACGGCGATTTGATATTTACAAACAGAATAGAAGAGAGAGTGAACGGTAAGGTAAGTTACAATCATAATAACCTTGAGTGATCGATGACTTCGATATGACGGAAGGCTCGAGCTCATAGTTTCCATAGGAGATCCGAAATACCGGCATCGCCTGTTGTTCCGATACCTGAGATATCGGCACGTGCGAGTAAATTAATGGAATCTTTGGGATATTTGAGCCATCGATAATTTCTTGCGATACTTTTCCAACGAATTCCTGTAGATTATTTCATAAAAAATGCCGATGAGGCGAGAATTTTGGAGCAGAATAATTTAAAATATCTCTCATCTCAGGCATTTCATCCAATTTAATATATTACAAAATTTTTACGAAGACCGAAAAATCTACTAAAAATGTCGTTTAAAATTGTATTTAAAAAAGTGTATAATCTTTGCACAAAGTGAATATATATAAATTCATTAAAATTGAATATATATATAAATACTTTCCATATAAAAATAAATGTTATATATATATTTAAAAGTTCACACACATAATATTTATATTTAATAATATAATTATATAATTTATATGAAATTTTATTTTATTTTATTTTATATAATTACTATTTAAAAACATATCTACTTCTTATTAAAATAATTTTTGATCAAAGTTATAAATAGCCGCCAAACTTCTTGTATATTACTTTCAAATATGTATAAAAAAATCTGTAATCTTATCATAATTTTTTCATTTTATTAAAACATACACGTAATTATCCTTAAAAATTCTTGTTTACTTATTGCCATCTTGGATTGTCTTAAAACCAGAAAATATGTAAAGAAAATTATAAAACATATTATTACAAAATACATTAAAATATAAATATTTTTTAATAAAACAACATTTACATTTATGATAGAATTTATTTGTAAAATGTATTAAAAAATCATCTCTTGTGTTTTGATGATTAGTAGACCTGTTTTTTAGCTGAATTTGCACCGTTTCTCTTTTTTCTTTTTTTCTTCAACATGAACAGATAAAACTGTGCACAAAAACATGCATTCAGCTGAAAAGAACGTGCCTCATAAATTTGAAATTATGCTTTGAAACGAAACAAACTATATATAACAGCTGTGAAACTGGAATAAATTGATTTTTAATTATTTTATATTATTTCAAAATAAAAAGAGAATTTTCGTACATTTTACAAGTGTATTTTATCAAAGGAAAATATTGTTTAATTAAAAAAAGTATTTATATTTCAATATATTTTACAAGAATTTTCTTTACGTTTTTTGCTTTGAACGTCACAATTCCAATATAATTGTAGAGAGTAGGTAGAAGCCTACACTTTAGAAGCCTATTGTCTTTGGCATTTCATGATTGACATACCTTTTGCGTGCTCTTCTCGCTTGCTTTGTCAATGCCGCTTTTCGAAGCAACCGCCTGCAGAGTCTCGTCGCTGTCCTTCGGCTCGATATTCTTCACGTTCTCCAACGTTTTCTGCTCCCCTTCGTTCAATGCAATTTTCGTGATCGCAGCTCCCAGTTCCAGTTTCTTAGGGAGACCTGCATTACCTTGGTCTCCCACGATTTTCTTCTCGAGCACATTCTCCCGATTCTCTTCATGATGCTGAGCCTCTTCGTCCCTCTTGATCGCTAATTCCAAGGCCTGAAGATGCGCCGTGCGCGCGGCCATCACTTCCGGTGTGTCCTGGACTGGAAGCGGCGCCTGCGGAAGATTCGTCGCGATTACTTGGAATCCATTTTCGCCATCAGCGAAATATTGTGCGGTCTGGATGACACCGGTTCCGTCGACGTAGCTGTAAGTGCCTCTGGTTGCACCGTTGGATGTTCTGACCTCCGACCTGGCTGATCCTGGAGCGCTGTAGCCGAAACTGTATTGGCCTAGGCTGTCCTGATAACTGAGGTACACCGGCGGCTTAGCAAAGCCGGTGGCCATCAAACAGTAGACAACATAAAGCTGAAAATGAGATTAACTTATATTTCATCATATTTCGTCTTACAGTTTGTGAAACCTGTCGTAGATACGTAAGAGACATTAGATGTTTAAGATTACGGATTAGTATTGCCGGATGACATTATATTGTGATAAGCATCAGCAATTTATTTTGGAAGTAGCTTAAATCAAATTTCCGTTATATCAAAAGAGTTATTTGTGAAATATAAGTGTTGAAAGATATATATTTTTCAAAAATAATTTTTAATTTAATAATATAATTCTGCTATGTAAAATAAAAAATAGAAATTTATTTGTCTTTTTTAGATAAAAAGAATAGAATTTTTTAATAAAAAAATTAAAGATTATAGATAAAGAGAGAGAGTAAATTCCCAACGATTTGCTCCAAACAATCTTTTGTAAAAATAAACTTCACGCGAAGTTAAACTCCATCAAGAATCAACTCCGGAGTGGTTAGAAATTAAATCAATAAATTTAACAAGAGGAGGATTAAAAGTAAAAACCTATTTGTAAAATGTTATTTGTTACAAAAGATCTTTGTATCCATCTTAAAAATCCGAACACTAATTTCAGATATTTCTTAGTCCTTTTTCCAAAAATTAATAATTAACAGAAAAATATTAAAATTTTCTGCAAGATTAGTCACTTGGCAGGATAACAAGAAAGAAAAAAAATCACTCTTAAAAATTAGAATTTAAAGAAGTAAGTGATATAAATATTAATCAGAATAATGCATTTTTACCATTATCTCCACATTAAAACAAACAGCAGCATTGGCTACCACTCAGGATTGCATTAATCTGAAATATATTTATACCGCTTAGATATAAAAGACATTTGTTCTGGAATATTGTAATACTGAACTTTTTTCTTTTTTTCTAAAATCTATTTTTCTGTCGAGTGGTTAATTATGACTGAAAAATTGTTATACTTATTATTAATTTTTAAAGAACTAAGAGGTATTTAAAGCTAGGATTTAAAGCTAAGGTTTAGGATTTTTAATATAAACATGACCTTTTGCAACAAACCGTATCTTAAAAGCGTGTTTCCACTTCTGGCGCTCCCCGTGAAAAACCGATATTCATACTCGGTATATTGAGAAAATTTCTGATTAAAAAATGAATGAATCAAAAGATTTTAATCACATCAATCAGAATTCTGGTTATTTATCTCAAGAAATTCAAAATTATAATAGATTCAATTAGAAAATTCTAATTTTTAATCGAAATTCCAATTAATGCAGTCTGACTTTTTTTCTTAGTGGTAGTGCTTATATTTAAGAACTACCGTTTTCGGAACAGTCTTAAGATGTCATAAATCAATCACAGGGCCGTATTAGCATCTTAAGATATTACTTAAGACGATCTTGAAATAAGACTGAACTATGAAAACCGCGACCTTAGAATCGCGATCCTCCCACGCGAGAAATCGAACGAGCACTTACGAATACGCTTTTCATGGTGATCGTATCGACGGCACCGGTACATCCTCGACGCCAGGACACGTTTATATACGCACGCGACCGCATGCAACCACGCCCTGTAGCATCGTGATGTTGCCCTCCTGCGTCTTCTTCCTCTTCCCACTGAGCCGCGACGAAATTCGCGAAATCGCTATCTTGGACCACCGCGGCGAGAACTGGTCACGCGAGTGGTTCCTTCGAGGTCGCGATCTTCGGAATCCGGCTTCGCGGATGCTTACTTTCCACCTGAGAGAGCAGACGATGCTTTTTTTCGGGCCGGGATCCGCCCGTCTATGCCCTAATACGTCGATTTTCAAGGTCGCATATAACATCGTGCGAGCGTTATTGTATAGGGGGTTGTTGTGCTTGGATCTTGACAAGAAGAATATCACGGATTATCGTTAATTTATCGCTCGATTACCTCGATCGTGTATCCAACGGAACGCCTCTCGATGGCGAGGACATCTTACTGATGCCGTTGTCCCCAGGGGTGCAAAATCTTTCTGCTTCATGCGAGGATCTGTCGTGCGAAATCTTATAGATACTAGTAAAATATGGAAAATTTTGTTGCCGTCTCGCATTTGCGTTTTATCGAAAGGAGTCGAATAGCTTAACGTGTAAAATATGAGCGGATTAAATAAAGTTTCATATTCATGTAAAATAACAAATTTATTCCTTTACGATATATTTGCTTTACGTGGATGTATATACGTGGGTATTATTTATTTTTATGTATCTAGTACAAAATACATATAAGTTTGGAGTAATAACAATAATAATAATTGTCATGCAAAACAGATGATCATATATTATTCTATTCCTGTTCCATCGAATATATTTTTATTTTTTATCAAAAAGAATTCCTTAATGCATAGTCTTCAACAGATCCACGAGTACACGGAAAGAACGTTTTTTAAATTTAGCTGGACGCAAAATTTTTTTATTGATTTATTAAAATAAGTATGTAAGGCCAATGCTCCAAAAAAATGTGGATATTCTATCATCTTGAACATATAGAAGTTTTTCTTAATGTAAGCTGTATTTTTTCTTTAAGCAGTAAAACTTTCCTTACATTAGTAAACTAATCTGCCATAAACATTAGCATCCTTCCAAGCGCTCTTCCAGCGACTGGCAAAGCATTGATGGATTTTATGTCGTTCGCCAAATTTTGATCCCTACGCGCAGCGTATTTCTGGCATAACAGATACCAGAGTAGCGATGACGTCTTGCCAAACACCAATGGCACTACACGACCGTTCACGGCAGGTGCGATTGCGACTTTCGGTGCGTTCAGGATTTTGCAATCGGAGTGTTTATCAACGACGTCAGACGAATTCAGTGCACCACCACTGGACCTCGCAATTTCGTTCGCCAAGTTAATTCTCTCGTGGACATGTGCTGCAGCATGAGCCACCTTCGTGGCCGCGACTTCCGGCGTGTCTACGACTCTGCTGAACATCGGCAGCGCATTATCGCGAAGAAACGATTGTCGTTCTCGTAGCAATTAGGATTCGATGGCTGTTCTCGCAACCTCGTCCAACGCTCCGCCGTTGATACTAACTTGCATATTGGATGTTAGAGCAGCCAGGGGTGTCGCGTATGTCAAAGGTACAGACAGGAAAGTGAGTTTGGCTGAGGCCAGGCTGATCAAACCGAACAATACGATCGCTAATAGCGTAATTTCTCGTGTTACTCAGTTACACCGGAAGTAATGGTCCCATACGCAATCGTAAACAACGAGTAGAGTAACGTTGCAGGATGCACTCGATGACTCGTACTGACGCAATTGTCGTGTGGTCGCTTTTATAGTCCTCCTAGATCACGTAATAGAACAATTGCGTGGAAGGACACGAAGGGAGAGACCTCGATTTGAAAAGCTGCGTATGGTCGGCTACTTCTGTTTTGCTCGGTAAGATAAAGCCAAGTTTGTAAAGCGAGAGTTCACATAGGATAAGAAAAGATGAGAGACGCGATGGTGAACGACGAGATGAAACAGAGAGGGATTTTCTTTCCGTTTATTTCTCACGAGGCCAGGAAGACACCTGATCCCGTTTTCATTTCTCCGCCAGATCGACCGTGATCTAGAAGGTCACGCCTGCGACGAAGATTGGCATCGATCGCGTAATCAGGTTCTAGAACGGGCTTATTGTCGTTTTTGCTCGATTAAATAAGAATGCCTACCTGCCTGTCACATTACTTGATCCTTAATTATTCCGACGACAACAAATTTGTTGATCCGTATTTATTCATTACATTTCTGCGACTATCTAGTAATTGATCTAATAATTGTAGATGTTGAGAAACTTGCATCTTCAAATATGTATGTATCTCTTGAAAAATCTTCAAGTCTTAACTCTTATTTTCGATTTTTTTCACATATGATGTATCATTTGTGTTTAGATTAATTTTCGTCATTTTTATAAGTATATAAAAATTATTAACTCTTAGTACACATGATAATTTTCTGGTCTCTTCCTATACATAACGAATTGTTTGTGTCTTCAGTTAATTTTCATCATTTTTATAAGTATACAAACATTAATAACGCTCATAATAAAGCTCAAGTCAAAGTTAGTCAGATCGAGATTAAAATTAAACTATATCAATAGAAACGGGCATAAAACGCGAAAAAAATCAGCTACGACGATAAAAAAAAGGCGAACGCGATGAATCGCTCGATCGATTATTTTTTAAGTTCTGATTAATCGTGTCAGGAGAACCAATTTAGACGGGCGTCGTGAGGGCCAATAAAGCCGACACGATTTATAATTATGTGAACGGGAATGAAAATGGGCGTCAATGTCAAATACATGACGGCTTTTATTGGACACTGGTGTTTACGTTGCGATGGTATGGATACATCCTGGTGGTGGTGCCTGGTTCGGCACAAAGCCACTCTTTTACCCACGGGGTATATAAAGCCGCGTGTACAGGGTAGTGCACGACATATTAGCCGAGTACCTTGGCGAGTACTGATCTTGATCGGCAGCGCTATAAGGAGCTGAATAATTTCATTCAACATGCAGGTTTTGGTGAGTATTAATAAAGAACTTTTGTAAGGAATACCGTACTTAGGTTACTGTGGTTTTTTTTATTATTTTACATTGTCGATCGATCGTTTTTTAAACTAAACGACAAAAACGAATCAACTTACGAATTGCATTTCTCTCAATTTTCGTTTTACGAATAAGTGGCACTTTATTCTTACTTGTTGTTGGTGGATTTATTTATATAACGGTTTTGTTTCTAACTTATTATTGTTTTTTAATATAAATTCTATATTTCTTGCTCTCAGAGATCATGATAATTATATGACAGTTTTTTTAACCACTATTAAAACATATTCATGTTATTACTGTTACATTTAAAGTACAATCTAATCCAACTTATTAAAAAAAATGCATAAATTAGAATTAACTAAATTAGTGAATACAAAATTTCTGAATTTAATTAATCCAAGCAATTCAATTTCTTTTAAGTGTTAAATTTATATAAATGCATATTATTCTTTCTTTTTTATGTTATTTTGATTTTTTAAATTAGTTTCTTATTAATTTAATTCGCATTTAACATAAATAAATGAGGCTTACAGCGTCACTAAGAATTACATTCATATAGTCCATTCTTATTTTAAGATTATCTTAAGTAATGTCTTAAGATCCTAATACAGCACTTTAATTGATTCATAACACTTTAAGACTATATTTAGGCGATAGTAAATTTAGGAATCGACTATGAACATCGACCTAAATGTGTTATAGATTTTTTAGTTCCTCAACGGAAAGATAATAAATATGTATTTAATAAATAAGTATGTATTTAAAAAATACATTGCACAATACAAATTTTTTCCAGACTGTTCTATCCACCATCTTGGCTTGCGCCTTCGCTAGTTCTCCACTGATTCTCACCAAATTGGTGCCCGGTGCTCCAATTGGCCTGGATGGCCGAGTGATCGACACCGCTGAAGTCTCATTGGCGAAGGCCGAACATGCGGCCGCTCACATCAACGAGAAGATTAATTTGGCTGCGGAAGCTGTCAAGTCCGCCGACGTGCTCACTTACGTAGCACCGTCCAATGTAGCCCTGGTCGAGAACAGCGCACATCTGGTGCAACCGGTTGCGGTGGCGGCGAAACTGACCCCTGGTGCGCCGATCGGACTCGACGGCCGCGTTGTCGACACACCGGAAGTGACCCTCGCCAAGGCTGAACATGCTGCGGCACACATCAACCACTTCAACGAGAAGCTCACGAAATCGATTTACGAACAACCGGCCGTCATCCTGGACCGTAGTGCACCTTTCCTTCGTTACTACTATCGTTGAATCAAGCTTACTGACACATACAGGCTCATATATATAAAATGTAAATAAACCTGCATTTCTACGTGCCTTAATCCACTGGCTGATTTATTTCGATTACCTTCCTGTTGTAAATTAAGATCAGCGGTTTTGCGTTGATGTTCTTGTAAGACAATAATTACCAATTTTAATATTGTCAATATCATTCAATTCTTAATTTCTTTTTTATATTCTTACACTTAATATTGCTATAATTATACGGAGAGAATATATTTTTCAATTTCAAGTTCTCCAAATAAGGTTTAAAAGGATTGCGTAGCAATCTGATTGTTCGCCTATTAGAATGCAATATAGCTAGCGATAAGTACAATGGGAATGCATTCTAACAGGCACGCCTAATGTAAAGAGATCGATTAAAAAATGATAAATGTTTTGTTACAAATATTTTCATTACAATGTGTTCGATGATTTAGGATTTAAAAAAAAAGTATCTATCATTAAAAATAAATATTTAAAACAGTAATTAAATATAAATTAAAAAATTAAATTAAATATAAATGTGTAAAACTTATTCTTCAAAAGCATGACGATATCGTTGTAATATACAAAGATATTTTTAATAGCAAATTTAGTTTTGTCCTTTGTATTACAATCATTTGCATTACACTAAAACAATGCACTCTTGCAGCACTCTCGTTGAGTGCTTTTATAATACTTAAAATAGATAATAATTAACACTTTCAATATTCTGTAAATAGATACAAAGCACTCTTCAATTTTGCATTTGGCTTAGTAACAAAAGTCAAAGGAGAATAACAAAATATCAAAATTGTTATAAAATATGTATACAATTTTACAATAAAATTGTTTCAATTTTTAAAACTGTCTAGATTTGAAATGTATATAAATTTTGTAAATATATTTTTTATTAGATATAGACGATGTCAATTTGTAAAAATATTTTGTATTTATGATCAACAAATGTGTCTTGTAATTCTGTATGTTGCTAAGAACACGTAATCCAGCCGATAATAATGTCATAATAACCGAGACAATACGATGACAATAAGAGACTTGTTGCGTATGATTTTCGGTCGCTTCTCGCACAGTTGATTTTTTAGGTCATCAGAGGTTTTAGGCGTTAAGTGGTCTAACGTAATGTCGCCGTCGAGGAGGCCAGCGTGCGGGTTTGCAATCGGTGAGTTTTGTCGCGGGCGCATAGTTGGAAAAAAAGAGCAAGAACCGCGCCTCCCGCTTTCTCGTATTACATTGTTACATTACACACACGCGATTACCGTGACGTTTCGTGATAATCTCTTGCCATTTCACGGAATCACGCGATACGAAGATTTGCCCAATCTCTGAGGGAACAAAAATGTTCCTATATCTCAGCTCAACTTGCCGTCGAGTCTATTCAGTTTGGAATGCGTCTCACCGGACAGGGCAGAGGTGTTGACATTGAACGATCGTTTACTGTCGCTTTCGTATCGTGTCGACGTGCAGCGCTTCGTGAGCGAGCGACTCAGGGGTGGTCGATAGATCACTCATCGATCCGATCGAACGAATAGCGATGAAGATAGATAAGATGTGATAGTAGAGCAACGGTGAGGAAAGGCGCGGTCACGTACGATGATAGTAACGCGTCACTTTGCTTGCCGGCCTGCATGTTGCAGCGTAGGCTTGTCAAAGGTGTTCACGTCGCGACAGTGTCAAAGGTGTTCACACGATATGTGCGTGAGCACCTTACTCGCACGTTTAACATATATTTATTTAAAAAATATATATATCAAAAATTTTAATAAATTATTTTTTTAATATAGTATCAACTAAATATTTACTAAATATGAAGATATATTTGTATTTGGTACAAAAGGACCATTATTTTGAGATTTAAATATTTTTTTATTGAATAAACATTTATACTGTATGTACCCCTATAAATGCGTAGGTTAATATAGACATTATTCAAATAAATATTCATTAAAATTTAATATATTTTTTTCTTAGTATCATAAGTATTTCTTCATAAAAGATTACATCAATGTGTTAAACTAGTTAATCCGGGAGTAATCACCTAATTTTTTTTGACCACTTGGGATATCTTTATATTTCAATTAAAATTACTATTATTGTATATTATTGATTGTTCTCCGATTTATTAGTATTTAAGAAAATGTTCTCAAACAGATATGAATTTAATCACAACTTTTTGAAAAAATATATATCAATGGCAACTCAATCCCTTGAGAATTGCATAAAAGAAATAATTTTAGATACTACAAGAAAACTGTCTTTTCATATGGGAATACCAAAGTAAAAAGTACGATTGACAAAATAATGTAATTAAAATCGTTTTAAAAGCAATTGTAAGTTGCTTTGCAGTCTTTATCCTAAATATGTTTGAAGAAATTAATTTTTAGTTACAGAGTAGGACGTATAATAAGTAAATTCACTTTTAAGTAAATTTACGACATGGATTCCAAAAGTCTGTATACATCATAAATACATTACAAGCAATGTGCCTTGTATTGTGAGAATGTATTCTTAATACAGTTCGTCCTTCGACTTCGAGTCCTTCGTTTGCTCAGGGCTGGTGAGTCGTTTAGCGCCAATACACGCCTTTGTTGTTTCTCAGCACCAAGATCCCTTCTATCGGTGACACGATTTAACCAGGATCACGAGGGAGTAAAAATACATGCTCTTTTGTTCAATAAAAGAACGCCGGATTGATTTACGCAGCTTGGTGACAGGCAATTAATAACTCGCGTTACTAATTGCTGAAAAATTCTAAGAAAGGAAACAAATATCTTAAGGAACAATTGGTGTAACCAAAATACCTTTCGCTTTTAATTCAGTAAGTAAACAAATTTTTATTTGCCGTTCTACAAGTAAGAATCGATAATGATTAAGTCGATGAACTAAGAGCTTTGATCAAACTTCTATTAATTGAATCAACAATTAACTTAATTTGACTGGTAAAATCCAAACAAAATCTTTAATATATCCTCTAAAACTTTTAGAGTAAATTATCACTCTTTACAGTAAGATTCTATCTAAAAGATTTAGAGAATATATATAATTCACTGTTTTTAATCTTTTTTTTTTTTATACACATTAAACAAAAATGATTAATTTAATATTTAGTTTTATTCGTATTTATTCAATAACATAGTGCTGATTAAGTTAATCGGAGTTTAGTTGAAATTGCCCTAGAGCTATTTCATAACTCCGATTAACTTTAATTGACGATTAAAGTTAGATCCTTTGGAATTGATCAATCGCATTTGTCATTTTGCTTTACAACAGATTGGTCAATTCTAAGAAGGAGTTCTGGATCAAATCGTCGATTAAAATTAATCGGAGTTGATCGAAATGGCCCTAAGGTGCAATTGAGTATATATACCATATATATATATATGTAGGTATCATTCAGTTCACTGATATGCTTCCGGTCATGGAATGCACAAACTGCATTCAAATGTCAAGGTCGCAATTGACGAAAGACAGACAGCGAGAGAAAGAGAGAAAAAGCATAACCTTCCCTTTTCCGATCTTTCCGACAAACTTCCTGGGCCATCGGGTTATAGCCGATCACCTCTGGCTTCCCCCAGGTCGCTGGCGATCGGATCCACGTGGGAGGGGACAGACGAATGCCACTATAAATGGTACCAACCGACCGTTCTCCAGGAACACAAAACAGCGAACCGACGCCCGGCTCGAGTCCCTCACTCCTGAGAGCGAATACTGACAGACAACAGCAGCGCTCTTTTTATCAGGAAGAAGGTGTGTAGGAGTTCAACGAAGGATACAACGCCCCTGGATCGTCATGAGAAGCGTGGTGAGTGATCCCGGGACAAAGAAAAGTGAAAGGTTGGGGTAGGTCGAAAGAATCCGCCCAACGAGAAATGCCGATCGAGATCGCGCAACGAGATGACCCGATAAGCGGTGGATCAAGTATCGATTATGTATTGGTAATTCGTCACGATTAATGGTCCATCGTTCGTATCAAATTTCTCCTGAAAGACAATTAACCCTACATTATATGATATTTTTCAACGTAATCAATGGGCTGTTTTTGACACCCCAATCTCAATTATTATTTTTTTTTGTTATTGATTTACAACTAAATACAAATTGATATTAAGATTAATAGAAAGATAGCATTCATTTAGCAAATTTATGCGGCCGGACTGTTTTGGACACCCCACGCAAGTAAGGAGAATTAAGAGTCGCCTGTAAAATATTACATTAAAAAAAAGTGAAATAAAAGCAAAATAATACTTCTTGAATATGTAGGATAAAAAATAGAAAAATATAAAAAAATTAAACAAGTAAAGAAAGAGCCAAATACGATCGAGATCTTGCTGCTAATAATTTATATGTAAATTTTGAATATATTTTTTAGGTATATTAAACTGTGCGTCGATTATTATCGAACTCAATCATAAATTGAAGTCGAAATAACAATATCACAAATTAAATCAATCAAATTTAATTTAGTCAATAAATTTAATTAATTCATTAATTAAATCAACTTTAATTAGTTTAATAATATGTTAATAAACATTTTAAAACACACTATAAAGAACCTAAAAAATAAAATATTTTTTCGTAAATGTATATTTTTCAAATTGAGATCTTATTGCTCCGATTTGCTTTTTGTTTTTAGATTTTTCTGCTCGCCACGGCGATGACTTGTAGAGCTGCATACGTCGGTTCATCCCCATATGGAAATCCCTTGGTTCATCAACAAGTTGCGCCGAACTTCGCGCCGTCCGCTCCAGTTGGCGAAGACGGCAACGTTATCGACACTCCGGAAGTGGCGCAAGCCAAGGCCGTGCATTTTGCTGAATTCGCGAGGGCCGCCGCCCGCGCAGCTCAAGATGAGAACCAGCAAAGCTTATCGGGTTATCAGCCGCAGATCTCATCGCCCGCATACAGCTACTCAGCTGCTCAGCCGACCGCGGTGCCTTATCTGAAACAAGCCAGTTACCAGCAACCCACTCCGATCTATCAGACTGCCAACCATGTGCCGTCGCCCATCTACGTGAATTATCAGCAACCCCAGCAATACGATGCACGGGCTAACTTTGTGGGTCAGAAGAGCTACACGCTGCCAGGAAAGCCCGGCACTTTTGTACCGGCACCGTTGGCCGAAGACGGGACAGTCTTAGATACGCCGGAAGTAGCGGCCTTAAAAGCAACCAGATTGGCCGAGCTCGCCGATGCGGAGGCCCGGGCTTACAAACACGCGAGCGAGAATCCGAGTGAGCACCAGGGTCAAGGTGAGCGAAGCAGAACAGGGAACCGATGAACTATCGCGTGGGCCGTGGCGTAAATCGTTGACGTAGGGCGTAAATAGGAAACATGCTTTGAAGTCTGCTCGCGGCAATGTAACATTAAATACAAGATGTAAAATTTTGATCAATTGTCGAGATTGAAGATGTTTCACATAAGCGTAGGAATATGACGTTTTTTATTTATAAGATAAAAATAAGTTAATGAAAAAGAGACACGAATAGAACATTGAAAAATATTTTTATTCTGCAAAAGAAATAAACAATTTTTTTTATATTTAAGATAAGAAATAAATTGATGAAAAAGTATAAATAGAGCATTAAACGATATTTTTATTTTACAAGAAATTATTTTTAAAAAATTATTAAATTTGTTGTATTCTTTATCCCTCCCAGATTTGCTCTATAATAAGTAACTGCTACACTTATATGGGCGTCCATTTTATTCCTTGACTGACGGGTATTTTCTTAAACCGTGTTTTCTATTATTATTTTAGCTTATGGATTTCCATCCGGTCCCGCTCCCGCCAACTACAATTCCAATCTAGGACACTATGGCGCTTCGCGAGCATTCCCTGGATCTTCGTACCCGGGAACTCAGCCTTATGCCACGCAACAAGTGTACAATCCGTCAGGTTTCCAGCCTCATCATTATCAACCCCAGCACCAGGGATAGGGACCTTCTAAACCTAGCGGATCGATCAACATGTTCCGGTGCCTGTACATATTCTAGATCTAGACGAATAAATTGTTTTCCTATCCTTACGAATTTATCGTGTTTCTCGTGACGGTTATCGCTTGTACATCTCTCTTTTTTAAATATTTCAAAGATTGTGTTATATAAAGACTACCGAAAAAAGAACTTAATAGAAGGAATGGACGAATCTTGTCCTCTCCATCCTAATTCCTATTTCTTTCTTTCTTCTTTATTTAGAACGAAATTATTACACAATTAATAACTTCCTGGATAAATTATAGATTAAATTTCACATCTATTCGTTAGAAATTAAAAATGAGAGGTACAAGTTGATTATTCTTATTGTAAATTAATGAACGTATTGTGTGTAAAATATTTTGCAGTTTACATGATTACAAAATAATATGATGACTAATATTTCTAATTCGTCATCGTACAACGTCAAATAGGCAATTAAGTTTTAATAAAGTTCTATTCATATGCTGGCCTACTTCTCGATCTTGCGTTGCGTCTAGTGTAATTTAAGTAAGGCTAAAACATTTCTTTACCATTATTAATCAAGACTGTAAAGATTCGTCGAACACATGCAATTTAATTAACTAATTTCTGCGAATTAGAAACTCGCGGTTAGGTTGACTGACTCCTTTTTGTACATTCTGTATTAACTCATATAGCATTAAATTTAAATTAAGATAGTTAATTAATTAATATTTCTTGTCTCTCACACACACACATACACACTCACACTTTGTGTGACGCGCGCAAAGAAAAGAATTCGCGAAATATCGCGATGCGGGTTATCTTATAGAAGAAATCACGGTGATTTATGACGCAACTCTTGGTGTCTTAATCTAGATAAAAATCGGAGCGATCTCGGATCGTCGTGGGACGTTGATTAGGAAAGTTTTGCGTTTTGCGGTGCACCCGCCGCGGGACGATATCGTAATGATCAACTTGCGGTGAATACAGCACGCAATTTTACGTAAGTAAAATCGCGACACCTGTCGAATAAAAAGAGGTGCATTATTCTGTGAGCTAATCGGCATCGTACCTTGCGCGGCGTACACGTAAATACCAATTTACTGAAAATATATAATAATTATTATTTTTTACTCGTTTTACATATTTCTCAGGAAACGTATATAATATTTACAACACTCCGCTCTAATGATAATTTAATTCTGGGAACGAAAAAATATCATGTAAATTCTATTGAAACGTATAGTCACCTTGCGTTACGGTTGTGAACGTTGCCACATAGGTCATCAGTGTACGAAAGACGTGAGAAGAAACGAGCAAGGGAGCGGAATAATAGCTTCGTTCCTCGAGAACGAAGCCGAGCACATCGTGATTCGGAATACCTCGCCGCGAAAAGGTCAGGAATCGTAACTCGTAACTTGTAACTGATGCAGAATATGCAAGAAGAATGAAATTGATCGCAAAACGAAGCTCAAATACCAAAGACAATCGAAATGGATACACTGCAAGTACTTTCATATAGGGATGAAAGGGACAGTGGCGTTCACTTAAGAACATTTTTTTAGTATTTTTAATTAACTTAAATTAGTTTTTTTATCGAATGTATCATTTCACTCTCTAAACTTTTCTTTGAAATAAAATTTTATTCTAAAGAGCCAATTTTGAAAAAGAGTGGCTTAATTTTCAATCTTTGAGAGGACATGATTTCACTCCTCAAATTGACAATCCACTCTAAAAGTTTTAGAAAGTATGCATAATAATACTTCACTTTAGATAAATTTTATATAAAGTAATAGGTACATTAATTAAAAATAATACACACACATATATATATATAACATATATATAATATATATAACATATATAATTGTCTTTATAATTTTCGTAATAGAGAAGATCGATTTGACCCACTGAGCGCCGCCGTGACCTCTTATGTATTATATATGCGCGGTTTAATTTTTCGTATAAAATAAATAACACTATATTACACGTTTAAATATGTAAATTAATTTTTGTATGTGCAATATAACGTATCATTTGAAAACATTTATTACACACTTGGATTCGCAGTGTACTTTCCAAAAAACACGGTCAAGGGTGACATCATCGACTAAAATTGACAAATTTGTGTCGCCAGAAAAGCGGATTTATCACCAAGGCGTTTCATCTGTCGAGAAGGAAAAAGAAACTGAATTTATTCGCAACGAAGCGTGCAATTTCGCTCCTTCGCTACTTACCCTGCGCAATTTGAACTGACCTCGATAAAGATATTATACAAGATCAGACGATACGTTTACCTGAGAAGAGCTAAAAATTCTGCGGACGCGCACGGAGATCGGCGGATGCTGCGTGGAATATCGCAGCCACGTCCGCGACCGTGGTCTTAACTCGTTACGTGTACATACATCGTGGGGATTACGTATTACGAGACCCCGTTTTGCGTAGATTTGCGCAACAATCGGCAAGCTAGTCGGCCGAGTTCTTCCGTCTCACATTACGATGTGGATCGGCGTCAATTATAACGGGGACAAGATCAAATAATCTTCTCGTCCTGCTCTGCTGACCTCAAACGGAATAAATCTATCCAGTATCGCATTTTATCATAAATAGGAATTGAAAGATAATGATATACAAAAGTATAATATATGTATAATATATTAAATGCGATAAATAATTCAAGTCAACAATTTTTAAAAAACTAACTGATATTTACAAAAGAATACAAAACTGTTCGGAATTCTACTCCTCAAGTTATAACAAATTAGAAAGTAAATTATAACAAAAATGACAGGTAATAAGAATCAGCCGCTGGTAATTATTATTGAATGTATTTTAATATATCAAACTATGTTCCTTGTACATTTCGACTCCTAGTTGTCATCTTCAATAGCTGATATTTGTTAACAAAATTAAGTATTTTTTCTTATACTACTCTATTAATCTCAAACAAAATTAATCTACCTAGTATCGTCTTATCGTCAAAAGAAGTTGAAAAAAATAACACAGAAATATATGTATAATAATATATCAACAGGAATTGTGGAGTAATGAAGTATTTACCAAATACGGCGGTATTAATTTTAATTTAAGTCAAACATTTTAAAGATATTAAAATAAACTTGTTATGATAATTGTTTAAAAAATCAAATAATTCTCTTTTTCGTGATATTCCGTTGATCTTAAATAAAATTATAATTTATTCTATATCGCATATCGCCCAAAAATATCTTTCTGAATAATGGAATATGCATTTATATACAACATATTAAATACAACAAATAATTGAAGTCAACCGGTTTAAAGGACCTGACAAATATTTGTTAATAAAATTATTCAATCCTTTAAAAGGAATATATACCTTGAGCTTTTGTTGTTCTTTCTACGATCAGTTGCCAATTTTCGAAGCAACAGACACCAAAAAGAGGACTACCTTGAAGGGATGGTCGAGTAATCCATGACCAGCCGTCCGCAAATCCGGCGTGTTTTATAAGAAAACTTTGTTCGAATACACACGTTGCGTTGACGTGATGATTACATAGAAAACGCCGTGCAGAGTGATTGAAGGCAACGACCATCTCGACATTAAAATTTAATGAATAGATCTTTGAATACTTGATTGCAGGAAATGAAAATTCGATTGCGAGAAGAAACGACGAGAAAACCGGTTTCCATTACTACGAGATAATGTGAGACAGTTATCCCGAGATCCTAGACGATTCGTGTCATTAGCAAGGACGCGATTAATCGTGCTTAACGAGGTATGCAACAATGAGATTTAAAAGATAACAATCTTTGGTGTCGCGTACACTCTCGCAAAAGTAGATCTGAGTAACGGTATAGAATGTGATAATATCGGAATAAATGTTGTACACAAACAGCTGAGAATGAATGTAACAGAATATTTTCATTCAAAGAGGAAGAGCAGAATTAACACGTTTGCAACGCAGGCGTTTATACTGAGAGAGAAAAAATTGTTGCAATTACCAATTTGACTATAATTTAATTTTTCATGCCAACTATATGTATTTTTTTAATAGAATTGTAAATATAATTATGATTGCTAATTATATATAGTATGATAACTAGATTTACAAATAGAATTTATAATCGTAATTACTTTATCATGCAATTATAATCATAAATATCAAACATTTCTCTCAATGTATAAATTTTTAGAAAGGGGGATACTTATTTAGATCTCTAGATTATGTATATAAATTTAAAAAATTAAGCCTTTTAAACATTTAAGTCGAGTGGATTATAAAAGGATCTTGATTGAACTGTGCAAAAGCACAGAACACACACACAGTTACTATGATAGTCTCTTTATGCTACTGCTGTTCCATATGAATATATATTTTTTCTAACATATACACTGGAAATACGAATATTTGTGCGCGATAAATAGGAGATGTATGAATTGTGACGCTTCAAAATCGCCGCAGGTGGGAAGATTATCGAGAGTTGCAATCAAAGGATCGGTAAGGAGAAATCCATTTATTTCGGAGTAATTGGAAAGGTAGTTAGTAAATCTTAATAAATCTTAGTCTTCCAATTCTTGAGGTAGCTGCACGGAAAGAACAGTTTTGCTGAAGTATTTAAAAATTTAGCTGGATAGAAATCTGAAAATAATTTTGTTGAATCATCAAAATAATAAAATGTTCAAATCGTCTAAACAGCATAAAAGCTTGCAGCAACAGTGTTGCAATGTTTTCAACGTTACTGTAACATTGCTGGAATGTTGCTGCAATATTATTAAAATTATCTGTGCTGTGTATGAATGGTAGTTGAAAGTCAAAATTTTTTCGACCATTGCCAATCATGCGTTCTACATAATTATTTATATAGCCTAACAAAATGATTTCCAAATTTGTATCTAACTAAACTTTTAGGTACACTAGTAAAATCGTTCTTTTCGTGTGGGAAGGACATGGAGAATCATTGATTCAACGCAACTAATCCTGTGACCGATTTCGTGGGATCAACGACGTCCACTGAACGAACGCAGAAGTGCGTTTCGCTCCAATCATTTTTTTCTCGTAATCGAATTAATAGTAGCTGTTGGCCGAGCCGTCCCAAGCGGGATTGTAGGCACCATTGTTCCAGGATGGATCGTAGGCGCCAGCGGCAATTGGATTGGCTGGACCGACTGGCACGCGCCGCGCTTCCGCATTGTAGAGAGAGAAATGTACGGCCTTGGCTTGCTGTACCTCGGGCGTGTCAACTACGCGACCATCCGGGCCCAGTGGGGCTGGTGGTCCACTGCAACATGTATTCAAACGATTGTAAAGAATTAAGTTTGACTATAGATTTTGACTCCTTGTTGGATTAAAGACATATAAAAAAATAGAATCTTGAAAAAATAATTCCTTCTCAATTGATTTTATACTGGAAGAAACTTAAATGAAAATCTTAGATTCAATTACTATGTCCGCTGGAAATAACAATTTACGAAGAGTTTCAGAAAGGTCCAGTCTTAGTAACGCATGCTTGACACAAACCTATAATGTGAAATGTAATTTCCGGAACCGTATCCACTGGGCTGGGGATAAGCGCCGGGGTAAGCGCCAGAGTAAGCTCCTATAGGACCCGGTCCTTTTGGTGCCCGTGCATTAGCCTCCGCCAGAGCACTCAAATGGGCAGCTTTCAACTGCGCGACTTCCGGTGTGTCTACCACACGACCATCTGGTCCCAAAGGCGCCGGAGAAGCATGGGGTCCATACCACTGTGGAGCTGCCAGAATCGCGCTCGACATTACGGAGAAGAGGATCTAAGATACGATAAAATATTATCTTCTGGTTAACTTTTTATATTATTAGGTCTATTTTTATAGCTGAACTAGTATACATTCTTCGTACTTAAAATGGAATAGATACGTGTATGTTTGAAATTTGACAAAAGCGAGACGAAAAGTTTTAGTGCAATCCAGCGTAGCAATAAAAACAAACCTATTACTTATTAACATTTATCTTAAATATATATACATAAGAATCAAGCGTATAAAATTGGGTAGAAAAGAAGAGAATGACATTGATTAAACTTATTATTATAGTAAGTTACATCACAGATTAGTGACAAAAAATTGACATTAATATACAAGGCTTAGAATGGATTTTAGTTAGCTATTAATTATAAGTGTGTTATGATTATAAATGTGTGCAATTTAAGAGAAATTGTAAATCAATTAGTCTCTTCTTGGCATGTAAGCCTTTGAAGTAATAAAATTTGTATTCTTAGGAATAGTAAAAGACTTACAATTGGAAAGTGAAATAATATTAACTTCATAAGAATTAAATATTAATTATTAATTGTTGAGATGCGAGAAAGTCGGTTAGGAGGAATTCCGGACACGTTACCACACAGCACTTCTCCCCGAATTTGCGAGTCTACTCACGAAGTATCCGATCATTGCGGTGATCACCCTGCGTATCCTAAAGGTATCCTGTCGCCCTTAGATCTCGTCAAGACACTGTGGCTGTCAGCACGTGCGTTTAGATTCGCATTACGGCTACCATCAACACGCTTGGTGCAATTTATAGGGGTACGAGCATTGATCGGGCGTGTTACTGCTGCCCGTGCCCCGCCTGACCCGGCGCGACTCGCGGGGTAACAACCACACCCAGGAAAAGCGTTCTCCTTAACTGCAACGCCGTGCCCCATAACATTTACTTACGCTAACAATGGCACCCGTAAGCACGCGTGTCCCGTGACCTCGTGTCGAGAATAAAAATGCGCCTAGACTGTATACCGTGTTAAACTATGCGCGTCATCCGCGGATGCAGTCCACCGTCATTAAAGTCACTGGCTTTCGCCAAAGTGGTACCGCGACGCGACGAGGCTTATTAACCCTAAGTACACACGATTGGGTCATGTGTGCATTTTTTTTTCTTCAAAATACTAAAAGTGTCGAGTACTAATAGTTTACTAATTGTAACATAACGATAAGCGTCAAGTAATTATTAATTATAGTTATACAACATAATAATAATGTGATAATAATAATACTTTATTTTTTTAATTCACGATCACATTTGTAAGTGAAATAAATTGTTTTTATTTGTTCGAATGCTGTATGGACGATGCAATGGATAAAGTTCCTGGTAAATTTTCATTAGCATTTTATTAAAAGTAAAAAGTACAACTGCTTGCCAGACTGATTTACAATTTTATCTCATGCTTATATCTTCCGGCCGCAATCACGCAATGAGTTACACCCACTACACCCTGCAGTTTATGAGTTTATTTATCCGCACGTGTCATATCAATCACAATAGTATGTCAGGAGGTGGCGATAACAATAGTTGTTGAATAACTAAAACGGAGACGGAGGTGTCGCAACTGGCCACTTGGCCAGTTCATCGATCGAGCCCTATTGGTACGTCTGATTCGAAAGGTATTGCGCGTTTGTCACCAACGCAATACCGACGTGTTTAGGCGTTTAGTCGAGCTTGACGAAGTGACAGTCGATCGTGAGTGATTGATACGCACGATCGACATCTGAACTCGTGCTTCTGAATCGTAATTGAGCTCGGCATGTCGCCAGCACTTCACCGCAAAACCGCGAGAAAAAGTTTGTCTAACCGCGTGAAATAAAACATTATTTGTACTCGTTGTACAAATTATTCCCAAGGCAGAAACGCACGAAGATAAAGATAAAAAACATCGCATACAATTAATTTTTGTACTCTTCTATCAGGAGACGCGGTAGCGTCTCCGGCCATGTTCAAAAAAACTGTGATTTTATATTAGAAGTACCAAGTGCTCATCATCGACCGCCTCTGTTCTTTAAACTAATATAATATTCTTTATATAAAAGAAAGGAATCTGACATTTTTTAACTTAATAATAATTATGCATTCCATACACTGAGGAAATATTTGGCTTTTTGTATTTTTTTATTTTTAAAATAATTTATTAGCTCGATTCTTTTAGTGGATAAGAAACGTTGATACTTAAATTCATAATATTAAATTGAGTCATTTTTTCACAATTTAAGTTATTTAATCATTTTTGTATATGTTATAACACTGCTAGCTCTTACTCCATGTATCATAAATTTAATTAAAATAATGGAGTAAAACAGTTTAACTCAAACTGTATTAAATTTCACTTAAATTTTGTTTACAATTTACTAAATACATACAAATTAATATGGGTATTGTTTGCTTTGAAACTATAAAACAATTCAGACGCAAGAATGGATTGATTTACATTTTAATACACATATAAAAGTTAAAACTAACAATGTATTTTTTAATTCGTAGAAATTGAAATATTATTGCCCCTTTGATATCTAATAGTATTCTAATATTAAAATTACGAAATTATAGCGATATTTTTCAAAATACAAGAAGAAAATCTCTGATATATAAAATCATTTATTCATATGTTACATTTGTTTGTTGTTGTATCGTTACATTTATAGTGCGAATACAAAATATTTACGTTCATATCCAAGATGCACATTCGCCAGCGTGAACGTAAAAAGACGTGTTGTCGCTTAATTATCCTTTGAAGTCGCTGCTTTTACGCTATGCAGATAAGGAATTGGGTTCTTCCGGAAAACGTATGTTCCTCGACGAAGGTATTCAGTATGAGATGTGTGGATAAGTACTCGCGTATGATAGATGAGCGACCTTGGACAGTTCGTGAGCGTGAGCGGTGAGATGCGCGGCCTTGGCATGGGCCACTTCCGGCGTATCCACTACTTGTCCATCATGGCCGAGCGGTGCTGGTGGACCGTGATATTTGCCATGGTATCCGCCGTAACCATGACTTATGCCGACGGGAGCAACGATGCCCTTGTATCCTGCAAAACCTCCGTCATAGTAACCTCCATCTCCGCCTACGCCGTAGTATCCTCCCCCGTAATGTGCCGTTTTGGCAGCCTCCACTGCATGCGCTGCCAGATGTGCCTTTTTGGCGTGAGCCACTTCCGGCGTGTCGACCACCCGGCCATCATGGGCCAGCGGGGCTGGCGGTCCATGATAATATCCTCCGATATGCTCTCCGTTAACGTACGGCTGATAAGGTGCGTACGTCGGCAAAGCCAGCGTCGACAACGAGAGGCACGATAAGACGATCTGAAAGGACGAACAGACAAGAGATTTAGTTGGATCGTTGAGATAAGGAACTACCTATATCAGAAGAGGGAACTGCTATCAAAAATCTATGTGTGCACATGCAGGATAATTCACAAGCAGGATAAAATTATATTCACAATCAGATCTAAAACTCTTCATTGTGTGAGAAAATTTAATGGCAAAAGCCTTGTATAAAATGTTTCTTCAATCTAAATTGAGCATTATTTTAAATAATCTTAAAATATTATGATTTTTAATAATATGTAATTGAAGAATTATTATTAAAAAATAATAATGTTGTTATAAAAAAATAAAAATATCAAAAAGATAATAAAATAAAAAATAAAAGTTATAAAAAGATATTGTTATTCTAAAAACAATATTTTAAAAAAAGTATTACTTTTAAATAATAAAATATAAATGCAATTTTAATTTATTTTTTTTATTATTTTTTTTTCAAAAAATAATGTTTCTGTGAGACAATTGTAAAATTGAGAAATTTCAGGGTAGAGTACAGGGTACTTACAAGGGTCTTCATGCTTATGCGCGCTATCCAAGATCAGGCGAATCTCTGTTCGTACAATCGAGCCACGTAGACCTTATATAGCCGACGAACAATACGAGCGTCTAATAGACACGTCTATACTAAATAGAGTAAACGCGAAACGTTTTACAACATGGGCCCGCCCTGATTTTCATGTGATAAGAACACGAAAGAGACCCGACTTTTCTATTTAATATCCCAAAAGGCAAAATACGAACACATCAAGTGGACCATTTTAACGAAAGAACAAGAAGAGAGATAAAAAAATTATAGTACAGAGGGAAAACGAGAAAGAGTTAGAAATAGAGAGAGAGAGAGAGAGAGAGAGAGAGAGAGAAAGAGACAGAAAAAAGACAGAAAGATAGGGTAGAGGGAGAAAGAGAGGGAGAGAGAAAGAATAAGAAAAAGTGAAAAGGGGAGGAATAGAGGGAGGCCGGAATGTCAGCAAGAACAGAATTATGATTGCGCCAAAACGCGAACGTTCTACAAGCGATGTTGTACAATTCGCTTGGCAAAAAGTGTCAGCGAGCAATGGGAACGTTTGATCGACCGTTGTATCTCGTTGATCTCCCGATTTACTAGCGAATGCTCGCAAAGAAAGACTGAAGATTGGACCCAAGCAGAATAGTAGGTCACGATAACGTTAAAATGGCGTTAAAATGAATCATAACTGAAAAAGTAAGGTTTGATTGTTTGGAGTCATTGTGACGCCAATTTAAATGTCATAATGACGTTTATTCAGCTTGGGAAGGCCCAATGTAAATCAGAAAGAGCAATCAAGATTCGAGACAAGCGTTTAATCGCAAATTTTTTTGACATCATGTTCATTATATCGAGTCTAACTTGACGATTAAACGCTGTCAATTAATCATTCATGAGAAGAAAAGCACTTCTTAGTATCTTTGAAATTAAAATCACTCTGTGGACATTGACATTCTCCTGACAATCATGAACATAATGAATTATAAAATACAGGTTTTCGCGTATTAATAACCATAACATGAACCGCGATTTATTATCTTGAATTAAAAGCTACTCGAAATTCCGTCACGTAAAAGCGCGTCTAATTACTTAATGAGCCATCGTAATTTACTTCGAGAGCAACATAAGAAAAGAGTGCTAGTTAATAATTGCATTAAATATAATTGAATATCTGATCTTTTGTTGCGATCTAAAGAAAGATTAACAATTAGATAATTCAATCAATAGATGAACGATACTTTTGGATGCTGATTAAATCAATTACGTCTCCACACGGAAAAAGTGATATATGGTATAATAAAATAATTTTGTATTAAGCTATCAACTCAATTTTACAAAATTTTGTTAACTGAATAACAATATTAATAAAATGATATTTTATTAAAATAAGAACTTTATTTCATTAATACTGTTACTGAATTAATAAAATTATTTTTAATTACATTGATGTTAATACAACATTATTTTTTTGTCTCTCATCGCTAATGCAATCTTGATGCAAACATAGAGAAATGTATATTTTGTCACTTTCGCAAAAATCGAACAATCAGTTGTAATATCAGCCGAACAATATCCATTATTGGTGGGGTGATACTGTTAGGTAAGATTAAATCACCGATTGTATATAAACCGATCATTTTGCTCTCGATGGTTATAAAACGGTGTGACACTTCTATTCAGGATTGAACCATTGAACGTAACAATGAAGTCTTTGGTAAATAACTTTATTGGATTACGATTATATTTAACAGTTAATAAAAAAAATTCCTTGAAAAATTAATACTGTTTATTTCAAGTATTAAAAGTACCAAGTTTAATACTTTTAATACTCAAAATAAATAATTAATCACAATTTAATATTTGTAGTATTATTATAAATTTCTCTAACGATTAGTATATTGAAAACTTTATAATATCATCCCTATTATTAACAATTAGATTAGATAAACTATCGGAATTGCGATAAAACTTGCAATGAGAATCGCAAAACGATAAAATATTTCCTTTTAATTAATATTCAGAGATTAATTTTCCCCTGAAATATTAATGTCAAGGGGTGCTGTTTCTATTCGTCTTCGTGTCCATAGATCTTCTTAATCATCACCGTTGCCATAACTTCGGCTATGCCAACACATTACCAGTATCACGGACCACCGGCACCCATAGGCCACGATGGTAGGGTCATGGACACACCGGAAGTAGCACATGCCAAAGCGGCGCATCTAGCTGCCATAGCGGAAGCTGCTGCGAGGGTTCCACACAGCGTAGCTTCCTATGCGGACAATCAGGACTATCACGGATATGCAAACCCAATATCAGTCGGTCATCAAATGTATCATAGCGGATACGGATATCACGGGCCGCCTGCCCCGTTAGATCATGACGTAAGATTTTTATCCTATTCACTTTAGTCGAACAATTGAGGAGTTTGATATGCAATAACACTCCGTGATTCGATAATGTAGAAATAATTTTTTTAAATGTGCTCAATTTAGATCAATTCCCTCGAATTGTTAAAGATATAAATTATAATTTAATAATAATTATTGTTATTACTATTACAAAATCTTCGAAAACTTTTAGAGTGAATCTCACTCTTAAAAATTGAAACTTTAGCCGCTCTTTTTCAAGGTTGGCTTAATTTTCACTCTTCAGAATAATATTCCACTCTAAAGAATTTAAAGAGTACTTAAAGATAGTTTGACAACATCGGGGAGAAATGTCAAACGCAAGAACATTGTCACTCTCCATTTCTCATTGTCCCTCTTATTTTCAGGGTCGCGTAATAGACACGCCGGAAGTGGCCCGAGCAAAAGCCGCGCATCTGGCGGCTTACAATCACATAGCTTCCTCGACACCTGTCGCGTATGATCATTCGCAGATTTACAAGCCACCGGTTTACAGTCACGACGGCTATTATGACAGCGACTCGTCAAGCCCCCTGTCACACGATGACAGAGAGATTAACGGTTATGACGATTACTAATTTTGATGAAAGGAACGCGGCAACGTGACCGTCCAGTTTTGACGCTTTTGCGATTAAAAGATGACGACGCGTTCAAAATCGACGCGACAAAATTATGAAATTGACGTTGCCACAAAGTTGCGCAATTGGAAAAAGCGTAATTTCATATGGATGGTAGTTTGTTATACAATGCGTTTTCAAGTTTCGTGATACGTTGTAAATGATATGCACCTTGCATCATCGGCTTTCAGGCTGAACCGTAAGATTCACGCATCGGATTGTTATCTAAGACGCATTTTAGCCCGTAAGAGAAATATAAAGCATTCCGCTGCTATTTCCTGATTTCCTATTTTATTACAACAGTGTGCTCCCAATATTGCTGTTTCGATTGAATTACATATTGCTTTAGCGGATACTATAGATTTTGCTTCGATTCCTTTACAAAATGGAAAAAATTCATGGAGTAGGTATTCATGTAGTAGCCTATATTGCATTTTTAAGAAAATTCAATGTTCGTATTTAAAATGTATTTGTGCGATTATTCCACACACAATAACCGAATCTTAATTTATAATAGCATTATCATATGTAATCTTGTTATACTATCTTGATTATGGAAAATCATGTTTAATTATGATGTAAGATTATGATTATTAACTTAGATAGAATATTGAACAGAATGTAACTTTTAAAATGATGGAACATAGTATGTTCTATGTTATTATTTATAAACATTAGAAGAAAGAATACTATTTATCAAGAGATATATTCCGGTGTATGTATATACCTTATGTTATAATAATCAAATCTTAATGTTATAACAATACATAATCTTATTACTATACCTTAATTAGAAGATTATGTTTAATTATAATTTTATGTAAGATAATTGTTATATTTTAAATATAAAATTGAACAGGATGTAGCTTTTTAAGTAATGAAACATCCGCGGCACGGCATTATAATTTATAGACGAAAAGTTGCAAGAAGAAAAGACGAGATTTAAAGAGATATACATATCTTAGTACAGTACTGTAAGCAACATTATATCGTTGTCGAGAAGTGATGTATGCAACAGGCATACCTGTCAACATCCGCTTGCGGCCTCGCAAGCTGGTTGGCGGCATGTCTTGTCGTCTTTTTACATTTGCGAATGAATCCGAGGAATAATTGATCCGGTCACTTAACCACGTCCCAAGCTCCTATTCCGAATACGTCGCATTCGAATTCAATTCAAGGCTCGCAACATTTCACGCGGCGACTCCGACATCCCTTGAGTTATTTGGTTTCATATTTTACGTTGACATCATGTCGACATTATTTGTGATATCGACAAATTCCTCTCGGTTTATTAAAGAACGCTAATTTTGAGTATTTTATGTGTGTGTGTGATTAATAAAAAATCTTAATTTCCACATTAAATATTTGATATTTATAGTTTTTGTTCCTCTTTTGCGTGTTTTCTTTCAACATTTATTTACATTGCAACGTCTATTTACATTCACATTACATGTATTTACATTTAATTCGATGGGATATAGCCGGCTTTCTCTTATTTTCACTTCTCTTTCGTCAATTTTGAAAGTCGATTTCCTCATAATGAAGCAATTTTCTATAGCAATTTTCCACGCGAATCTCAAAGTATCTTATATAATTACGCGCGTAATTATCTCAGCACGAGGAATCGAGGTTTGTTGTAACAATCGCCCGATTCACCTAATCGGTACTTATAGAAGTCGCACTACGAGATCGATGAGTCGGCCCACACACGGGTGAGTTCGAAGGAAAACAACAAGTTAGCCGGCTAATTGCAGACGTCGTTTAATGGGTATTTAAGGCCATGCCCGACTCGATTATGGCCATACCCGTACGTGTGTTTATGCTAATAAACAATAGGGTCGCCAGGCGTGCCAAGATTATCTTGAATTGCAAGGAAAAGGGCTTTTGTTCCCCGCGACAGTCACGTCGTTGCGTATCTATGCGTTAATAAAGCGCCCACACGAATACCAGGAAAATTTCTCGTTCAATTTTGAAATGGTGAAAACGAGTGAAAATTCTTATTCGCACGCGTTTAAAGAGTAATTACAAACGCAACGTTCCGAACAGCGGTCATGCGTTACACTCGTTATGAAATCATATGTCGATCCGATACTCTACATATACATGAGAAGTACCAAAAGTAAAATATTGCCATTTTTTAAATTGTTCAAAAAAAAATGGAAAAACATATTTTCTTGAAAACTCAACTCTTACAAAAATTATCGCAATAACTAAAGACTTAGTATTACAGAAATTTTTATTTAAGTTCGAAACATTTTGTAAGTTTCAATAAAAGTGCAAGTGAAAATATTGCATCGCTATTCTTTCCGCTTGTAGCAGCACTTTCCACGTCAGATATTAGGATATAGAACATAACATACAACCCATTCATACAATATAAAATACGTCTGCACAATTTTACTTACGTACTGTTATAGTGATGTGATAATAATAACCTACTCATATTTTTATAATTATAATTATGAAACAATAATTATATAAATCATCATAATTTAATATAGTATTAATAGCAAATATCAAGATAAGAATGGTAAATAAAATAAACTATTTTTATGTAGCACAAATGCAATTACAATTATAAATAAATGTAATTATTTTTTAATCTCATTTGTTTATTATTTAGATTTTAGATGGTAATAATAACTAAAAAATGTCTAAAAGAAAATGTAAAGAGAAACAATAATTTTCTATTTTTTTTTGGACCTCTATTCTATAACTTGTCTATTCTATACTTGTGTTTTTCTATCGTAACGACGATATAATGACACTATCGTTAAGAGTTACAGAATAGGGGCTGTAGAGCCGTAAAAATGCATATTAGTTATGACGATTATAATCTGATTGAAGCAGCTATAATTTTCGTGGTCAAAACAACTATAAATGTATATTTAACATTGAAAATGACTATAAATTGTTAAATTATAATAAAAAAAACTATTTTTTCCAGTGCATTGTTTATAAGTGGCTACTTTTAATACGCTCTTTGATTAATCACATTTATTAAACTATTTAGAGCGATTTTATTAATTAATCAGTTGTGTTAATTCACTGCATTTACGTATATATGGACAAAGCATAAGGTTAACAATTTGCCATTATGTGCAAATGCATCTTACAACTCGGTCGTGTTGCTCAACGATATTACGTTGGCGCGGCGCGTATAATGAATTAACGTTACGCTTATAAAGGTATATGTTATAAATTTACTACATATTTCATTTTAATAAATGTAACAGATGTGAATCGCTTAAATAAATATTAAAAAGTAGTTCTGTAAGTTTCAAGTCGTCCTTCCGCAATTCCAAGTTCCCTTGAATAAAATTCTGAACGATTTCTAGAAGATATTTTCACTCCAAAAAATAAATGCGTTTTAATTTCTAACGGAAGAAGCTTTCTGAGTAAAATGGCAAAATTCTTGACTTCTTGAGAATTTTTTCCTGCGAGTTTTTAAACGTCGAGCGGTCGAAGCGGTCTGCATGAGACCAGCACAAAGAGGGTTTCGTCAGGAAGTGAGACCTTGAGGAAGTGGAATTTTCGATCGAGCAAAAACATGTACTTGCACCTGCCGATATGGATCGGACGTCGCTCATCAAAAAGCGACCCGATCTCATCCAGGAAAAGTTCTCGATTTCGAGGACGCGCGGCCGACCTTCATTCCGAACTTTCTTTTTCTACGTCGCACCTCATACATTTTAATTGCGCCTTGTCCCTTCCACCTTTCGGCAGCTTTGATATCGGCAAGGACGGCCGTTGATCGACCGCACCTGACAATATCGAAAAGTCATGCTATAGTTGTTTTAACGCAGTGAACAGTAATCCTCCCGCTGGCGGTGCGCAACCTTGTTGATTTTGTTTTTTTATCGAAAATTTTTCTCGCGGATAAATATAGGGATCTGTCAATAAGACACTGACAAATGCGATTATAAGTGTTCAATATCACACTTTTACACCTTTTATTATATGTATCTTTTAAATAGATGCAATGAAGAGATTGCGAATGCATAGCAGAATTTATTGATGCAGATAAGACTTTAGTTTGGGCATTCACGCATTATAAGCTTCAGTTTATTCTTCTTTTCGCAAATAATGAGTGATAAAAGTAGAATAAAGCTTATCATTAGCCTGCAGCTAGAATACCATATGAGTCCTGATGAGTCTAGGATATTTTCTTAGTTTTTAAATAATGTGATGATTTGGAATAATTTTGTTTCACTCACACATACACACACAGTTTGTTTTATTTATGTAATAATTATCGTACTATATTTATACTATTGTAACTTTTTTTGAAATGTTGCAATTCTTAAAGAAAATAAAACTAACAATAAAAAGTTAGGTCTCGAGGACCTATGTATTCCTTCAGCGCAAAAAATATATATTCCTGATTACATTATATGCAAGATTTAACATAGGAAAACTAACGTATTTGTCTTGATTTAATTACATTGCTCATTAGTTAAGCTTTACTTAGTACGTTATATAAATTCGCGTACAAAATGATAGTCTTGCACCTGGCAGTTATATACGTCCATGAAAGGAACGCTCATTATCCGTCATTTTCGCGATAATAAATAAGGCTTCATGGCCGGAGTCACTTTCCACACGATCCATCAAGCAAAAAGTAATCGACCCTTCGTGCGGCGAACCGCGCCGGACTTCCTGTTGAATCCGCCGAGCCCTTGGCGGTCGCTCTTGATGATGATGAGCGTGAAAGAACCGGCCAACGAAGTCGGAAGACTGTACGAGACTGACCTCGGCGATGCATCCACATCTGAAGAGAGGTATATCCCTACCTAGGCAGATTCAGACGGTGGCAGAGACTCATTAACGTAATGTCAATGTCAGATCTTTGAGACATGACACTTGCTGCAGGGTGTGGTCCCCTCCTACGGGTAGACGACTCCCTACCAGGATTCACATATATAAAAGGGGATACGAATCTCGATACAGTACGACATAGCAGTCCATACTTTAGGGCGAATACTGGTAATCATCCAGCAGCGCTTCATCACGTTGAAAACATGAAGGCATTCGTGAGTACAATCGATCGGTGGCAGTCCCCCGAAAGTTAATCTTGCGGGCGAAAATTTTATCCAGTGATCTATTCCATGATGAACTTAATTGTTATCAAATACAATTGATATACAATATCTCTATTTATTAGTTATAAGCTTAGTTGGAGCCAATATATTCTTCGGCACTCATTTTTTCCGTAGTTAAATTACTTCAATTGTGTATGGCCAGATACTTCATAAATATTTAGAATAATTATACACAGAATTTATTCGTGCATTTATTTTGCAGATTGTTCTATTCGCACTCTGTGCCATCGCAACGGCAACGCCCGCGCCTGTCCAGGACACGCCGGAGGTAGCACAAGCGAAAGCGGCGCATCTTGCCACCCACGCTTATGAGGCCGCTAGGAACTCCATCGGTTACGGATGGCCCGGTTATGGATGGTCCGGTTACGGATGGCCTGCCCTTTATGCACCTGCAATTGCATACGGCGCTCCCATCGGCGCGGACGGCCGGGTTATAGACACACCTGAGGTCGCCCAGGCCAAGGCTGCCCATCTCGCCGCTCACGCCCAAGTATGACACTCTTGGTTTAGAGATGGTTGCACAAACGGCAATAGCTATTCGTGACCGATATTCAACGTGTCGCTCACTATTATTAAACGTCGAGAAGAGCCGCGACAATGTTAATCTACGGCTTAGAAATGTTATACATATTCAGGTGTAAGCCGCGATCCGATCATTTTATTTATGAGACTTTTTGGTAACTTCATCTTTTGTAATTCCTTCACATATTGCAATGTCGATAACTACGATTTAATGAAATATTCACGCAGGAGGCTGCCAAGATTGGATTGACTCCATACGGTGCACTAGCTTATGCCACCGCGCCATTCTACGCTTACAGTTACGCTCCACTTGGACTTGATGGCAGAGTAATCGACACCCCTGAAGTGGCCCAGGCTAAAGCAGCACATTTGGCCGCACACGCTGCAGCAGCCCGAAATGTTTAATAAATTAAGTAACCATTGGAAATTGCATATCAATAAAATCACACAAACTATCTGTTTTCAATCGCGAAAGTATATGCATAGACATTTGTGCCATGTTTTTGCCATGTTTTATATGGATCTGATGTGAGAAAAATTTGACAATAAACAAGCCATTTTTAAGAATTGTATGTGGTTTGAGTTCGTTCTTATTAGATAAGTTAAATTTGGAAGCATTTGATACACAATAATTCAAAAGATAATATAATTTTTTTATATCGTAATTTAATGAGTGTTACATAAGCAGAAATAAATAGAAACAATAAGTCTTTAAATACGACAAAATGTACACAAATGAGTTAAACTCTCTGTCAAAATATATAATTTTGCACCTTCCGTCAGCAATCTGGCTTTTTCAACCTTGCTTTAAACACATTTTCATCCTTTACGGTACTATTCTATAGGTATTTTGTGTCCGACCGATTCCTGTTCATACAAATTTCTCGTTCATATAAAATTCATACACATCTGAAATATTTAAGCACTAAGATCCGCTTTGACCGAATATAGGCTCTCTTGTTTAATTAAATTTATTCTCATCGGTCCAAATTCGTATAATTATTTAAATATTTGTTCTACAAAGTTGAAAGTATGTTCGTGAATTTTTAGGGAGTAATTCCATTTACACTCTGTTACAATTGCTCACTGCCAATCACAACGACTTTCTGCGTAGGAATCTTTTTATTTTTTTTTCTAGCTCTGTGATTAGCTTTTTTGTGCGCAATTGGCTCGTATGTAATTGATATACACCTAATTTTTAGAAATGTTTAAATCACTTTAAAAGTAAGTAAAAAAAATGGACGGATTCAAGATACTCAGACTTGTACCAGTAAGGCATTGTTTTGTATCGGATACTGCAAGGCGCAAGAGTTATATAGTTTTAGACTATACAGAAATCTAATTGTTTGGCCTCAGTAGTCTGGTAGGACGCTCGCACGGAATGTCAATTGACATCAGATCTTTAAAGATCTGGGTTCGATTCTCGGCCGAGATAATATTTTTCGCAATATAAATTAATTATTTACAGATTTTTAATATGTCATTCATAGATTTTTATGTCATTCAACATTATTAAGATCCAATGTTATGAGCATAAAAATTGTTAAATTAGTAGATAATTTAACTCGTGATATTATTGCGGTAGTTCCGTAGAGTAGCGTTTCAAGACTGAAAAATTGTTCGGCTCGCAGTTTTGTGTCTTTAAAAAAGACTATACATACGTAGTATACAAATTCACACGAAATTATAATAGTACTTAAGATCCAAGCTCGACCGTTAAAGACAATTTTTCATTGGTTGTGTTTCTCACATGTACGATCCTATAAGATTTAGTATTTAAATATTAATTGTATTTTAATTATCAGAAGACGCGATAGTGTCTCCGGCCATGTACAAAAACTGAGAGACACTACAAGTCTCTTATTCCGAGCCCCCAAAGTCCATTTTTGGGAGGTGCATAACTATTAAAATATAAAAAATTTTGAATCAAACGTTATATGTCCTGAAAGGCGGCATCGCCACGAGTAATTTGTGAGCCAAAAAAATTTAATTAAGTATTTTCCACTGGAAAACTTCGTTTTCTTTTCTTTTTTTTGAAAAATCTATAATAAAACTTGTGTGCAGTTAGTCAAAGAAGCGTTTCCGAGCCTTATTTGTTATTTTCATATGTAAAAAGTTACCTTTTTTAAATATTTTTTCATTTTTAACATTCAAAAATTAAACATTTGTATAGTAATTCAATTTACTATAGAACCACCCTAATTAAGTATACAAATTAGTTCGATCCGTTTTTTGTGTTCAAAAATGCATTTATTTCAAAACAAAATGAATGAACACATTAATTAAAGTATTGTCCATCGCTGGCTACTACTTTTTCCCATCTCTCAGGCAATTTTCGAATTCCATCTCGAAAAAATGACTCGTCTTTGGAAGCGATTATCTTTTGGAAAATGGACCGAACTAATTTATACTCCCAATAGAATAATGTTATACCTTAACACACATACAATCTTAATATCAATTAATCTTAAATTGTTCATTGTTTTTAAAGAGGGAGAAGAGATTGAATTCAGTGCAACATTTATGCACCAGTTTTGTCAGAATATTGAACACTAAAAATATGTAAACTAGTTTTCACAATGGAACAATACAATTGCATTCAGTTGCATTAGTTTTTATCAGTGGAAAATGCTGTACAGATTTAAATTTATCAACCAGAATTCATAATAAAAATTTTTTCTTCCACATTGTCAACGAAGAAGCAATTAATTCAAATTGTTTTTTAAAAAATGTTCAATACATCGTAAAAATTCTAAAAAAGATTAATGGTCCAGACACAGTCATTATGCACATTGCTCGGCCTTCCCAATTTCGAGCGCTTTCCGCGCCATGGCCAACGCGCCGTCCTTGGTTTTATGACCGCCGATGAACCGAACAGAGTGTACAAATATGGCGCCTTCAATTCCGCAGGCTTCTACAAGGGCATTTTCACGCAAACCGCCCCACGCTGCCGGCAAAAACATCCTGCACACGAAACTTCCCAGCGCTACCGGCATACACTGAACTCGGTAAGCGTTATCAGCTTCAAAAATGGCGTATTTTATTGACGGCGACACGTTCATATCCTTCTCCAGTTGAAACAAATGTTCCTTCCACGGTACTGTTTGCGACAATATTATTATCTCTCCACTCGGATCGACCTTACAGAAATATTTTATATTAAAACCACAATCGTCAAGATAATATCTAAAGTAAAAAGATAGAAGAATAAGAATTCTCCTTACTTCAAATCGACTCTCCACAGCGCGTCGCACGAGTTCTCTTGCCGGTAACCATACATTTTTCGAGTATTGTACAAATTCCAAAAATTCCTCCAGAACCAAAGCCATAGCTTTTTCAAATTGTTTTTCGATATTCACGTCCTGACTGTTCCATTGAGGATTCAGTCTGCTTACGCGCGCGCTTAAATCGGTAACTATTCGATACCTGAAATAAACACAAATGCAATAATTTCGGAGAAAACTATTGTGCAATGCAACGTTATGTATCTGCTTACAATGGCTCGGCATCATACATCGGTATACCATTATCTATACCATCGATTTCCTTAATTAGGGTGTCATAAATTTTCTTGAAGATTTCATCAATGATTCTATCCTCTGTTATATCTGAAAGTATACTCCTCAATATCTCATGTCCGAAATGGCAGTAAATCAGTCCGGCACTGCTTAGTTTTATTGTCCAATCATATCCTGGTTTTTTCATAACGGTACTCATTGATTCTTGAAATTCTCTGATAACAAGAAAAGAGAATAAATAATACAATGTAACAAAAATAGGGATTTTATTTAATGGTACTCCTGATGAAACAACAATTTTCAGCAATAATCTTTGCAGTGCTTTATATTTTATTATTATAATAAATTAAATTAAATTAAAACTTATGTCATGTTATGAAATATGTTTGATATATGTATTATATCTTAAAAAATATCCATTATTAAGCCTTACATTTATGATACCTTTTCTTATATTATAAGCTACATTATATGTGAAAATTCACTTTACTGAGATTAATTTTCTATGTAATTAATATTTTGTAGATATAAGATAAAAAAAATTGATTAATTGCCTTTTAACAGAGTTGTATAATTGATTAGGTTCAATAGACCCATTGATTTAGAAAAGTAAAAGTAAATTAAAAAATATGCTAAATTTACCTCATGTGATGATCATATCTGTGCCTGGATGGATCATAATCTCCGCCAACATCCACCACGATATCACAAGTATCCAAGACACTCTGACTTCGAGATCTAAAAATGTAATGGGATACCCATGGATTCTGTAACCCAATATTTTCTATTCATTTAATTTTAATATCATTCATGTCATTTAACTAATGTCCTTCGCAGACTTTATCAATACAAATTAATTTAATTATTGGGCAATATTATATCAATAATTATACTATTAATGTCTATATTTATATCACTGTAGATTAATTTTAATATCTCGGTTTAATTTATTCTTTACCTTTTTCTAACTTTGAGAACTAAAAAAGATGAAAAGCAATTACCGATTTAACTTAAACCAAGATTAAAGTTGATCATTTATGTTGGTAGAACAGTAGGGTTTCAGTTTTAGCTTTGTTACAATTACCTCACTATAGAAGCATCCTTGTACTGTGGTAATAATTTCAAGAGCGCGCAGGCGAGGACTTCATCGCAATGGAAAGTTCCGTCGTGCGTACCGATCCTGACGGCTGACTTGCTCGACATCGTTCTGAGAGTGAAATCGAATAGACACGTTTCTCGCCAAGTGAAAAATTTGGAGAATCCACCGCAATGCGTGTTTTTTGGTAATCGACTGAAAACTCGGATCATTGTGCTAAACTACATGACCTAAAGCTACAAGTAAGTATATAATTATTATCAATTTTATGAATTCTCACCAGATCGTAGCGAAATGTGAATTCCGACGGAAATCTCTTTACACGTGGAGTATTCAAAGTAATGTTTAAATTGAGGTTATGTGCTTAATGGTGTATATCGCTGACTATACGTTTTATAGAAATACATGTGTACTTCGTCTTTTTGATTCAGTCTTTTCTCTATCGGCGATTGGTTGATATATAAATCGATTTTGAGTCCAATAATCCAAGGATATAACTTGTTGATCGTTAATATTTTTAGGTTAAGTGAAAGTTACTCAACAATGCGGTTTGTAATATTCCACGCGAAACAAGGTTTATCAATTATTCACGTGCTGCTTTAGTTTAATTATTCACGTTCTTCTAGCTATTATATTTGCATATTCCATCAATATGACATAATCCTAAGAAGCATAGTTCTTAATCTTAGAAATATTTGAATTCAAATTGTATCACTTTTTCTGATTGAAAACTAGCGTATTTAGAAGTTCAGAATATGATCCACACATAATATTATATGTATAACTAAATCTGAAAAATTTCGACTTGTGTCACTTTTCATGTGAGTGTAATATATATTTTACTAAAACTGTAGTAACATTAGGTATTAGTCAAGTTATTTGTAGATTATGTTCGTATATAATAACTTTCAATATACATACAGAGTGGTGCAAGTGACCAGCCTTGTAGCAAGACGATTCCACTCAATGCAATAGTTTCTGGTCGTTGCCAGTTTGTAACGTGCTACTGCCATGTTATTTTAGTTTGTTCAAAGCTGATTTTGAAAAATGCCAAAACGTACTTGTCCCTTCGAAGGGGACTGTCATCTATTACCACAGATGAAAATGCATGTAGGAGAAAAGCAGGTGAATAACGGCGTATCGAGTGACCAGCGAATGAGAGATGTTTATAGTAGGTATTAAGCTCACTTTGTGAGATGCTATACACTTTCTTTTAAATCTTGAAGCTCGTCTTTAGTCGTAACAATATGTCAATTCAATAGGGATAAATCTTTACATTTGACTCCGTATGTATTTCCAGGTAGGACTCTAAGTTTGCTTAAAGCAGGCGCGAAGGTACTCTCCCATAAATTAAACACATCAGGGCAAATGGATTCTGTAGACCTACCTCAACGTCCATCACCTTGTAAATTCAGATCTACGTCCAATATGAAACAGATGCTGTTAACCGACAAATTGCAACTGAAAACTAGTGACAGAGTTGTCAATGTAGGTTGTGGAACTATGTTGGCACTTGAAATAAAATATAAGTAGGCATCTTATGATGACTATTTATATTTTATAAACTATGAAACTATTTATATTTTATAAAATATATGTGAGATGTAAAGACAATGGTTTTGTGAATGTTTTTTTTTATTCTAGGATATCCGAGTAGATCTCTGCGAGTGTTACCAGTTGATAGATCGGTCTACAGTAAGCGCGTGTTATTACTGTGATCAGGCGTTGTGTTCCTCTTGTCAATCTGTGTGCGCCAATTGCTCAGAATTGTTTTGTCAGAATTGCTCTGTACCTGTGTAAGTTACTAGCTATGTGTCTTTGTAAAATTTTCAAAAGTGTGTAATTGTATGCATTGTCTTATTTCAGATATAATTATAAGGAACAAATCATGTGCCTTAATTGCTACCGATAATTATCCAAAAGAAAGATATTTTTATGCGAGTTTTTATGAAAATTGATATTTATTTGTAATATTAATCGTAACTTTGTGCATATAAATTATATAATATCGCTTTATGAAGAATATTAAATACATGAAGTAATTATAAAGTTTCTATATAAATAATATTGAGATATAAAATATTTTAATAGCTATACATTATTTTTACTTATCTTATTACTATTCAAACATTTTATATGTAAAAATTAATTTATTACAATATATTTTAAATATTATTATGCAATAAGAATGTACAAAATGAAAAAATAAAGCACAAATCTATATTAAAAAAAGTTTTGTTTGTTTTATTCTGCAGGTGTCTTAAATTAGACGTATAAATGTTTCATTAGTATGTAAAAAATATAAAAAAATAATATTAATATAAAAATTCTTAAATTACGTTTAAAAATAATGAAAAGTTTTTATTCATTTTTTTTATTTAATGCGACTTGCAGTTGTAGCTTAAAATTTCTCTTATATTTTACACACAATACATCTAACAATAAATTGAAATTATGATTTTCACTTCTTTTGCTTTCAGTTGTAAATCATAACCAATCGTGGATTTTAAATATGAAATTTTTTTAAGTTTAAAAAATATGATTATTGGACCGTGAGAAACTAAATATCGATAGAACATGCCGTAACGGTCAAGCTGGATCTTGAATGCTTCTAATATATAATTCCGTGTGATTTTATATACTACGCGTATGCATGATATAAGATTCTTAAATACGTGCCAAAATTTTTTTTAGATAACGCAAACTCTAATAAACTACCGCAGTACTATTACGAGTTAAATTGACTAACAATCTAATAATTTTGATGCTCATAGCATTTTGGATCTTAATAATGTTGAATGACATATTGAAATAAGCTATCTCTGGCATTTCGTGCGAGTGTCCTAAGCTTTCAAACTACCGAGAGAGTTGCCTCGGTAATCTAAAAGCTTAGGACGTTCGCACGAAATGCCAGAGATCCGGGTCGACTCCCGGCCGACATAATGTTTTTCACAATATAAATTAATTATTTATAAATTTTTAATATGTTATTTAACATTATTAAGATCCAAGATGCTATGAGCATCAAGATTAATTGTTAGTCAATTTAACTCGTTATTTTGTAGTTTATTAGAGTTTGCGTTGTAAGTTGAAAAAAATTTCGGCGCGCATTTAAGAATTTACATACATAAGTATATAAATTCACACGGAATTATATATTAGAAGCATTCAAGATTCAACTTGACCGTTATGGCATGTTTCCATCGATATTTAGTTGAATAAAAAATGATTAGCTTAATTAAAAATCATAATTGAGAATACAACAAACTTTAAAAAAATTTTTAATTTTTTCATGAATTCTAGTACATTTTTTATATAAAATAGTTTTGTAATTTATTTTAATATCTCTAGAAAAAGAGTGTACACAATTTCTCATTGTAGGTATACAAAACGCATATAAGATATATAGAGAGTATAGAGACGTATATAGAAACTACTTATATTTTATAAAATGTAAAATATAATGTAAGATGTAATTTTTCTCATTTACTATTTGAGTTAAGTACATCTGCATAGTTTCCCAAAAGTGTGAAAAAAACCCTGTAATAATTTTTTTAAAACAAAAATATCGAAAAACGAAATACGTATTCCGATATTTAAGAAATATTTTTAGTTTTTGGCAAGAGTGTTGGTCAACGATGTGCGCGAAAGCTATTTTAATTTATTAATATGCAAAGTGAAAAAAAAAGTTTCAAGTTAAATAGAAATTTAGAAATTCTCCTAAGGCCACATGCACACACACACACAAGATTAGATCTTGAAATAGTTTGTTGTAGTTGCGATTCTTCATTACGAAATTTCAGTGTTACTTTGCTATTGCCATTTTCTCTTTAACGTAAAAGAGAAAAAAGCGTGGTCAACCCCATCGTGCGTGGTACCACACTATCATATAACCAGAAGGAATATTTGGAGCTTTTGAAGGTCAAACTCTGCGAAAAAATGTATGTTCACGCAGATATCGCTGTATAGCTTTTATTTCGAGATATTCAGCTGACTCAACAGTATTTTTCAAGATTATCTTTTACGTGCTCAAATTTCCTATGTAAATTTATATATACTACATATATATAGTTATTTGAAATGTTCAGCGAATTGATTTTTCGAACTTAGAAACGCAACTAAATTACTGTATTAATATCATAAATTAAATTGATGTTGTGAATTGCAGCTGCGATATTTCATAGCAGCTGCAGCTCTCATATTTGTTCAAAGAGTTTTAAAGAGAAATATAATAAATTTTCACACTTTTGGGAAATCTGTATAATGAGATAAGACTATATTATATTCACATTAATCACAATGAAAAAAGTAATATATTATATTATCAAACATTTATAATTAGATAAATCAGTGTTATTTGTATATCTTAACACATAACGTCTATAAAAATATATTATTATAACTGATTTGTTTGAGCATAAATATCGCTCAAATCAATTTATCAAGTAACAAAGTTATCAAGTAACAAAGTCTTGTATTACTGTTATTACTTTTGACATGTAGCTTATTTTCAATGTGACAGATTAAAATTGTCTTGTGAATATTAGTAGAATTATTAGTTGACTTTACATTTTTCTTTGTTAGTTTTATTATAAGATAATATAAAAATAATAAAATTGACAACATCGATTAATTTTTGCAAAATTAATAGAAGAAAAAATGCTTGTCAGATAATACTCTTATAAAATTTATACGGAAGTTATGTTTGCAGAATTCTTCACGTTTTTACGATAATTTGAAAAATCCACGGCTAAGTCAATTTCATCTGTTTCCTCGCCAAGAAGATGGCCTTCCATCTCGACTTTTGATTTTCCAAATATTCTGTAAATAGATTTCGTGTGATGCGCCAACATTAATTTTAATATTAGCTAATGTCTCACTATCCAAATAGGTTTGTATGTAACAAAGGTATACTTATAGCATAACACATTATATTAGTTTTGTAAATGCACTTTAATAAATAATGTATTTGTTATTTTTCCCAATGGAGATGTAATGTATTAACAGCATGAATAACATAAAAAATCTGTATAGAATGTAAAGTTCTTTTCATGTAAAGTACATTCTATAGAAGTGATCACTGCAAATGTATTAGTCGCAATTAGGATTAGGTAATGTAATTAAAGATACACATATGAGTATTTATCCATCGAAAATATTTGTACAGTAGAATAAAAGTCATACATTGTATTCATACAATTTTTCGGACATTCCAGTGTAATCTATTTACATATTACACTAATTATCTATAATATTTATTCATTAATTACTTAATCTCATTAATTATTCATTGTAAAGAGCTATATCTATTGTATAACGAAGATAATTTCAATTAGATGATACATTTGTCCACAGGCGAGAACATTTTTTTTCTCAGTCTTATATTTTGTTATAAGTAACAAACCAGCATTTCTAAAGAATAAGCAAACCTTTTTTAACGTATGAAATAATATCTCCAACAGAAATTATAATTTTAATCGTATCTAGTCATTATGAAATAAAAATAATCTAATCTCATACATGAAATCTTACAGCTTGATTTTAAACAACACGTACAAAATGATTCTTAATTAAATATATATATATTGATATCAATTTATTTCTTTTCAAGTCTTTTGAACGAAGTTAGGCAGAAGTTGGATTTTTATACTTTTGAAAAATCTTAGGAAGTGAAAATTATTTAAAAAATTTCGAATATTAAAAAAAAAATTATAAGAAAACATTGAATTCAAATTTAATTATATTGATATTATGTTGAAATTAAAATTATATATATATATATAATGCAATCAAGAATTATCATGTATAAACTTCATATATATATATGTATGTATATATGTGTATATATATATATATATATAAAGTATTTTTACAAAAAAATCTGAATTTATCAAAATAGATACTTCATTAAATTATATAAATTATTTACAAAGGATATTAAGCATGAAATTATCGATTAGTTACATATGATTATACCATTCATAAACAATAATAATTATAAACACAATATTCAATAAGCAATAAGCGAAGAGAGGGAAGAGCATAAGTTGCATTATCAAAAATAATTTTGGCATTTTTTACAGTTAGTATAAGAAACAAATAATTTCCTCCCAATTAACATCAGTTAGTTGTGCAGAATGTTAAGCAATGGAGTTGCTGCCAATGGAGTTTTGTAAGCGCAACATATTCATTTGCCTATACCTGGACAATGTGGATGTCGATCTGTTTATTGGTACGACCGAATCATCCAATCCACGATGAAGTGATATCGTATCCAATTCGATCGTTCGAGCTGTGGAATGGGCTTGCATAGCTGCTGTATATTCGGAAGTTTCCAATGTGGCTTTAGTTGGTTTATGATAACTGCACAGATCAATATACATTAAAATATCCTATTCATTATGAAATAATATAATATAATTTTTCTGTCTCTTTCCTTTTTTAAGATTACATTATAAATATTTTACAAATTAAAAAAAGAGGTATAGTTACTCACAGTTTTAACAATAAGGAACTTCCTACTACTGATACGCTACTTAAAGCCATGGCGGCGGAAGACATCCATGGCTGTAGAAAGAAACCAAAGGAGCTAAATACCCCGGCAGCTATGGGAATGCCCAGAAGATTGTAGACACTAGCGAGTAAGAAATTCAGTCTTATCCTACAGACCGTTTTCCTTGATAGATCTAAACACGCGATTACATCTAGAAGATCGTTCTGCAAAAAATTTGATATTGCTTTCGTGTAACAATTTGTAGAACATTTTATTTTCACTTATTGGTATATGACTCACGCGCATCAGAACCACATCGGCGGCCTCCACAGCAACATCTGTTCCCGATGCGATAGCAATGCCGACATCTGATTGAGCTAGAGCCGGACTGTCATTGACACCATCTCCCACCATGGCGACTCTCAGACCCTGTTCTTGCAGCCGCTGA